AAATTTCTGTCGCGCTCCTGGCGGCTCAGCTGTTCCTCCTCATGGAAATTTCTGTCGCGCTCCTGGCGGCTCAGCTGTTCCCCCTCTTGCTGCAGGAGCCGCTCCTCCTCACGGAACTTTCTGGCACGCTCCTGGCGGCTCAGCTGTTCCTCCTCACGGAACTTTCTGTCTTCTTCCTGACGGCGTCTTTTCTCTTCTCTTTCTTCTCTCAGCAGTTGCTCTTCCTCCCGGAACTTCCTGTCTCGCCTTTTGGCTTCCTTTTGCTGCTCTCGCTCCAGCAGGTCTTCAGCTGGGAACTGCCGGTCGCGCTGCTGCTTGCTCCTCCTCTCTTGCTCTCCTTCTCTGTCTTCCTGTTGATCCTTCAGGGGCCACCGATCTTGCCGAAACTGTCTCTCCCGCACCTGGGAATCTTCTAGTTGTCGGATCTTTTCTTCATTTTCTCTGCGTTTGGAGTAAGCCCTGTTATTACGAACTTCATTTTCTTCTTCTAGTTGCCGCTGCCATTTCAGATCCTGCTGCCGATCCTCGTCTCGGAATTGCCGCTTCCTGTCCAGGCGCTGCACCTCCTCTCCGCGATATTGTCTCTCGCGCTCCCGTCTCAGCAGCTGTTCTTCCTCTCGCTGCAGCTCCTCCTCCTTTAAATAATGTCTGTCGAGCTCCTGACGCCTCCTCTTCTCTTCCTCTCTCAGCAGCTGCTCTTTCTCCCTCTGCAGCTCCTCTTCGCGACGCTGCCTCTCGCGCTCCTGGCGCCTCCTCTTCTCGAGTTGCTCTCTCTGCAGCTGCTCCTCCTCCCTCAGCTGCTCTCGTTGAGCCGGCTTGGCGTACAGTGTGTGGCAGCGCCTCTGGCTTTCCTCCTCTAGTTGCCACCTGCAGTTTTGGTCTCGGCGCTGCTCCTCCTTGCGGCGCTGCCTCTCCCGATCCACTTGGAGGCTCTGCTCCTGGTCACGGAACTGCTGCTCCTGCTCCCTTGAGAGTCGCTGGCGGCGCTGCTCCTCCTCCTCCCGCTGTTCGCGTTCCTGGCGCCTCTCCGCCCTCAGCTGCTCCTCCTGCTGCTCCTGGAGGCGCCTCTGCTCCTCTTGCCTGCGGGGCCTGGAGTAGACTTTGCTCTGACGGGCGTCAGCCTCGCTTTCCACCTGCCACTGCCACCTCAGGGTGCGTCTCTCGCCCTGTTCATTGGCCTCTTCCTGCTCGCGCCGCAGCTCCTGCTCCCAGCGCGACTCCTCGCGCCCGCGCCTCTGCCTTTGCAGCTGCTGCTCTTCCTCCAGGCGCTCCCTCTTCAGCTCTTGGCGCTCCGGCCTTTGCAGCTGCTCTTCTTCCTGGCGCTCGCGCTGCTCCTCCCGGAGGCGCTGTCGCTCCCGCTGCTCCTGCCTCTCTCGCCTCTGCTCTAGGTCAGAAAACTCCTCCGGCTCCCAACCCTTGCGCCTCAGCAGCTGCTCTTCCTCCTTACCACGATCTTCTCGTTCTCGCCTTTGCAGCCTCCGCTCACGTCTCTCTTGCTTCTCCCTCTGCTCCTCTTCCTCAGCGAGCTCCTTCTCCTGTTCCTGCCTTTTCAGTCGGCATTTTTCTTCCAGTTGGCTGTCCTGGGGCTCGAATCTCCTTTGGGCTTCCCTCCTGCGATCTTGTAACAGGTTCCCCTTTCCCTCACTCTTGACTCCTTTCTCAGTGAGCCCCGCGGCCTGGCCGAGCGCGTAGTAACAAGCTTGAGCCACCCTGAAGACGAACAGGAGGAATTCATTGAAATCGACAAGCCCGTTACAGTCGCGATCCAGAAGTTCCTGAATCAGATCTGCTGTCTCTGGGTCGTGTGGCCTCTAGGGGGGAAAAATAAATAAAACAAAACTTTTACAATGTAAATACAGTGTATTTACAATAATACAATGTATTATTTACAGGTAGTAAGCAGATACACACGCAATGTACATTTTTATGATATGCTGATACTCAAAAGACATTAAGAGCAGCTAAAAAAAACACTCGGTGTGTATGGAGTCTTGTCCCCGTGTAAAATGTGAAGACCTAATTTTAAAGCATACATTAGTTGGAAATTTTTGCATCTTATAATTTAATGCTGATCAAAAGAACACAAGTTACCCTTAGCTGACTGAATAAGAATGAACTTACACTTAAGAGAGAAATACAATGGAAATTTGTGAAGATTTGCAGCAGCCATTTCTGACTGAAATAGCCAGTACCCCTGATCTGATTTCTATCCCATGTATGAATACAGAACAAAATATTTGTGGGAACACCATTTTACTAGAGAAGAGGCTGATTTTAGTTACTAAAATTTAGAAGTAAACTTAAGTTCCTTCTAAGTTTAGTTTGGTTTGACATCTTTGGTGATAAGTTCCTGTGAACAGTTCATTCACATTGACGTTGCCGTCAAGTACAGGAAATGCTACTTTTTTAGTACTAAGACTACGATGCCTTCAGAATTGAAAAGGGGATGTGGTGTAGAGCTGTCATGGCAGAAAATGACTGTAAAGTCACCATTCCTTGCTCTGATTTCTCCTGAGAAGAAATTTCATAATCCTTAATCAATAGAGAAATTTCCTTTTCTTGTTATTTCTTACCCGAAGGACATCTGCAAATTCTCTCTCAAGGAGGTTCTTCAGGTCTTTCTTGCTTAGGGCTGCCCCATCACAATCATGTGAGGCATACTGATTGAAAATTTTAGTGATTTCAAAGATGCTTCTCAGAAGTGGAGACATTTTTTTTCTTTCTTCAAGTTCAAGTAAACCTAGAACAATAAAATAGGATCCAGAATCAAAACTCCATTTCTGATCTTAGATCCCTAAATAATTTTACTCTGAACCGTAGTTATTTTCAACCTGGGCTCTCAAAGGAGCTTAGTTTTGAATGTAGTGCTTAGAAAACAAGAGATCCTGAAAAATTTCAAGCCAGGGAACTATCTTCAGACTATCTTGTTTACCCAATTTGGATTATCCATATCTAGCTTTTGATTGTTTACCCAATTTGGATTATCCACATCCTTCCCTGCTTCCTCTTTGTGCTCCCTAGTACTTTTCAGATTAGACAGTGAGGAGTGTAGAAATTTAAATTAGATATGTTTCTACTCCTAAGAATTTTCCTCTAAAGTTGAACAAAGAGACCAGCCAAAAGGCAAACGAAGACTTGAGAGTATCTTAAAGCGGGTAGAAGCCATGTTACACCTAATTGTGGCAGCAAAACATTTGATGGTAACTGGAATGATAAAAACAGGGAATATGGATTATTTCCTAATATTATAGTCCTTTAGAGATCTAGGGGTATAATTCATAAGTCACCAGCTCTTAAGCACTACTTCCTAGTCAGAGATGGCATTGTAAAATTCAGATATACCAATGCAGAAAACAGAGTGCATGTTATCGGCCTTAATTCAGGTATGTTACAGATATTCAACTATTGCAAATTTCTGATAGGTACTTCCTGACTGGCTACCAGAGTCAGTGGGTCAAATTGAACTTGGAAAACTTTTAATAATATTGGTCTTTTGGTTAGCTTTTGGTAAACCCAAATAAACCACTTGCATCTTGGCATTGTAAAAAACAAGACCTAGCTAATAAAAGATCAATATTAAAAGAGTACATGGAAAGCTTCACTGGCTGGCTGATTTACTGGTTCATCTAGCTGACTTCTTTAATTACCTCTCAACTTCAGTATCTCAGATGCCATAGCTACATGAAGATGGCCTATATTGGGCAGAACCCATAGAAAAAGAGAACTGAGGGTTGACAAACGTTTGAGAGGGCAGTTTTTTAGGAAGATGAACCCCATCAGAGTCATACATGACCATCCTCCAACCCCTGCTGTGCAAACAAACTTATAGAGTTCAGTATTCCAGCCATAAGAAGATGGCATGGAGATAGTAGATGTTAGACATCTCTGTAAGATACTGATGCCTTCCGGCACGTAGGCCCTCCTTGCTGCCCCCAACATCTACAACAGCTGGGAAATGAAGAATCAGACAGAAAAAGATGACCCCACTGAATGGGACTTACCCACTTCACCAGAGGGAGAAGTTAAGTGCTCGCTGACACCGCTGGCAAGTGTACTGAACAGCTGGGAGCTTGGCCTTTTATAGAGGTTTTAATTGTGCCCTGAAGAGCAACTTAGGAAGGAGACACCCACGCTGTAGGATGGCCTGATTCATCCCTAACCAAGCCCAGCTCCACCTCTGTCTCCACGAATGGCTTGTTTATCTCACTATTTGCTCACGTAGCTATTTGGCACGAGGTTCACAGACCTTGCTTCCTGACAGGGTGCTGGCACCACCTAACATGAAAGAATATTTGGCAGAATCTTAATTTTCCTTAATTGTTAAAATCAAATAAAGCAATAAAACAAAGAAATTCATGTTCAGAATCTTAATTAATTATGATTTCATTACAAAATTGTAACCTCTAAGCCATTTACTTTACCGAGAGATACAAATTCTAGGTTGAGGTTAAACAGAAGTTTTGACTTAAACTGTTGAGAACTAGCTGATTTCTCTGTAGGATGTAACAGTCCGTGGGGAGTTGCTTATAGCCCTGTCTGAAGCCATTCTAGGATGATAAGCTGGTGTAAAGAATTGGTTTTAGTTTCCTCTCTAGAAATGCAGGTAGGAAAAAAATGTGCATCTGTGTTCTTGGGTCTTGTGATGGTTTTTCTACAGATTGGGGATTGCTTCCTTAGTAAATAATTTTGGAGAGTACTTTAAATATACATTTTCATTAAATTGTTCATAAGAAAACTTGAAATCTGTGAAATTTCATTATTGGTGATATTATATCTAAATGAAGTTTGCTAATTTCTTTTCTTATTAGCATATTGATGTCTCAAGAGAAAAAGAGCTGGTGTAATGCATTACTGTAGATATAATCATCCTGCTCAGCCTAAGTTACTAATGATTATCACACCTAAACACTTGAGTCTTCTCGTGGAAGCACATTAAAGTAATCGGTCACTCTAGCCCATTACATTTGTCAGGGCTTTCTCAGCCCTGGTGATCATTTGCAAATCTCCACACTGTTTTATTGTAAGGAGCTGGATTTTATCCCTGGTTGTCAGTGACTCCCACCCTTACATTTCAGACAATATGAACCTTTGGTTCATAATAGGTTTATGCAAACTATTAGCTGATTCAGTGGCTTTTGGCATGTCTGTTTCTTCCTTTGTCCGACAGAAGCTAAGTAGTGGTTTTCTGAATTTTGAGGAGACTCTGGAGGGTCATTCAATGGAATGTGAAGATTTGGATCCTAAATCTTGATGGATGTTCTTTTATGTGCAGAATGGTCCAAATGATAGTGGACTTAAATTCTGTTTGTCGCTTCATTTGTTGCCATCCCAGAGGTGTGGTGAAGAGAAAAGTGGAATTAATAGGTGATGGGAAGACAACTGTAAGTCTGGTTCACTGCTGCATCCTTAAGGACTTCAGCATCGATGTCTGATCTAGAGGTTCTCCTAGTACTGTCACCATTTCTTGGACTCAGCAAACTTGATGTAGCATCTCCTCAGTAAAGTGAAGATTTATCTTTTTTCCCTTCTCCTTATGGTTTTATGCAGTTCTCTTAATTTCTGAATTCTAGGTTGGACCGCCATGAGCGCTGTATGCACTGCAACCACAAACCATCACAGAACCTCTGTTTCTCACAGAAAAAGGGACTAACCCTTTTTAATAGGTGTTCTTCAAGGAATTCCTGGGACAAACCCTACCTTATGTCTGAGTCTGTTTTTATCTACCTGTGTGTGATCTGCTGAGGGGACTTAGCCCAGGTGGGATGCACTTGTGTGATTTCATTACCTTTGTATAGTCAATAAACTGAAAAAAGGACTGGACATCTCTTAGGTTCTATGAGAATAAAGGGAAAATATTAATCATTCTAAAATTATGGTTGAGCAAGCAAAAACAAATACAGAGGCAAACCCAAAGGAAGATATTTCTGAACAGCCTTAAGAAAGTGGCTGAAATTGTATTCATAGTAACACAAAAACTCCTTCACTACTCTGAAGGAAGCTCAATCTTAAATCCAGTGATGGCTCTCTTACCCGCTCTTGTTTAAACATAAAGGAAAACATTAAAAACCCTGATCAAACCTAAGAGAATTAGCCTCTCTTCCTCGCTGCTGTTGGTCCTTCATCAGAAAGATGGTCAGTAGGTTCAAGTGCTTCAAACGAAGTGGCCTGCGTTGCTACGTAATGTTCTTTTATTTGTGTCATTTATTAAGTGTTATTTAATTTAACATTAAATGTTATTTAAAATATTTTAAAAGGAGCTCTTGACATGTTTGGACAGGGAAATAATTCTCATTGCTTTCTAGTTCCTTAAAAGGTTGGCAAATGCCAGAGAAGGTAGAAAATTATCAAGTCTTCATTTTTTAGTTCAGTGTATTTTTTTAAAGGCCAACAGGGGATCCTTGAAATGTGTCAATGTCCACTCATTGTGGTTCATCAAGAAAGCATGATGTTTTTATAACCTGAAGATCTCTATATTCTTTATAGACAAATAGTCTCATTATCTTTTTTTATAAGGCTGGAGACCGAGGCACTGAGAGGTTAGAGGATATCACAGGCCCAAGAATGATCCAACTGCCCCTGTTCCATTCTGCAGAACTGTACTTCTTTATCAAGGGTTAGGGACAGTGGGTCCAGAGCACAGCTATATTATTGTACTATTACTTGGCTTTGAGGCTTTGGCTCTTCAGTACAGAAGAACTAAAAAAATACTGTAAAATTTATATCACTCAGATACTTTACCTTTTATGTCAATCACAAAGCCTCATCCGTGCTGAAATCTCTGGGTGTGGAGTTCTGCTGGATTAACAGAGAACTAAGGAAGCATTAGGTTTTCCTGGTCTTTATCTCATTCAAAGGTTCATTTCCCATATTCTCTTGTTCAGAACTCAGAAAAAGTAGATAATAGACTTGACATTCTGTGGCATTCTAGCAGGACCAGGCCCTGTCTAGGCCTTACTGGGAAACTGCCAAAGTGAAAATTTAGAGAAAGCAGAAAAGATGCCAGTGTCATCCTCAGCCTAATGGACTTCTCCAGAACCCAGTAGGAGCCATGATGTGATCTCTGGGAAAATGTCCAAGTGATGATTTTAGATGGCTTTAAAGAAATTAAGATTCTTTGAACTACCACCCTCCATATGTATGTGACTTCTCAATTTCCCACTACAATTTCCATTTTTTAAATAGGAATTTTCAACCCTCTGTGCTTGTCTAATGTCTGCTCGGAACAATTCGAGAACTTGTTACTGTTTTAAAATGCATGCATGTTAAGATGAATCTCCAAACCAAGGAAAAAAAATTAAACTCAAAGAAGCTTTCTGTAAAAAAAAAAAAAAGATTTTTTAATAAGCTCTCTAAACATCACTTCAATGAAGACTTTTTCTTCAAAATTATATGTTAAACCTTTCAAGTTTTCCTATTCTTTCTTCTTATTCATTGACCCATCTCCTGGAACCTCACCTCTACTGGTCCAAAACCTAACATATTTTCTTTGAGGCCCCACACAAGTTCCATCTCCTCCCAAAACCTTCCTTGACCTTTACATGTAATGATCTACAATTTAAAAAAATTTTCTACAGCATGCATAGTTGTCATTATACAACCTAGCGTTAGTTCATGTGTAATTTCCATATTTTTCTCTAATTTAATGGGTGCTTGTTGTGTCTTCTTGATCAGGTTTTCAATTTCTTGAAGGCAATGCAGTATCTTTTATTTCTGCTAAGTGTTCTGTAAAACCCTTGCTTAAATGAAACAATTTTATTGCGTTACAGCAGTTTGAAGACCCGCCAGTCAGAATGAGATGAGTGGCTTGATCTGGGATGGAGTTCTGTGGGTTTGGGTGATGGCTTGGTGATGAGGGCACACGCCATAATGGGAGTCAGCCCTTCTGGGGCCTCCTAGCTTCACCACTTACAGGACAGATGACAGAGAGGCACTACTCCACCCCTTTCTGCCTTCCCCCGTGCCCATCACTTCACCCCTCTGTTAAGCGAGGAGCTGTAAGATATGAATCCCTTCCTCAGAGAGGAACTTTGATAATTACAGCTTGTAAAGCATTTTGTGATTCTTAGATATAAAAGGGCTAATTATTATGATCATTAATAATTCTTAATTTTTATCTTCTTCAAGGTGAATTACCCTTACTTTAATTATATCCCCACCCTGGTGGTAATTACACCCCTGAGAGTCAGCAGACGCTTTCATCTTACATCACGCCGGACAAGGTGACGGCACGGGAGCCCAGGAGGAGCACTTCCACCTCTGTCGCCCAGGGTGGCAGAGGGCTCTGGCTTTGTCGTTACACTGGTCATAGATTTCAAGCGGTTTGCTTTCTTTGTTCTGTGTGTCTTTATCCTAGCCAGCAGCTCCCCAGTTTCACGGGGCTTTGGGATTTGACAAAAGACACGTGGAATGGGAAAAACAAATTTAATCTCTGTAATTTGATGAACATACTCTGAGTGAAGGAAGCAGGCACTTTTGAGTGGACTGCAGAGCCTTTCTGGTATCTGCTATAAAAAAAAAGTTCACAGCTGTCATATGAAAGAAGGGCCATGGCTCCTCAAGGGTAGAGGTGCTACATGGCATTCTCTCTTCTTCTTGGACTCAGATCTCTTTCTAGTAGAATAGTAAGTCAGTCCTTGGGATGAGGTAAGAGAATTTATATCTAAAGAAGTAAAAAAAAATTACTTTGAGAGAGAGAGAGGATTTATTTCTGATAGCAAGGTGTAACATAAAGGAGATTGGGTGCTGAGGCTTCACACTCAGTAGATACTTTGGGTTGTGGGAGTCAAAGTCAAGACCTCCCAGATGTGGAAGAGAGCACGGCCAGCACGGGCAGGCACACGCCAGTCTGGCTTGGAATGTTTTCTCCTGGCCCAGGTGTTCAGGAATCACCAGTGTCATGGTAAAGTTATTGAGTCCTAATCTTGGGTGTTTCAGTGTCCTGCATCTCACCCTATGCCTGGAATAAGGCTGGAGATGGAACGCGGTTCGGGTGGGGGAAATGATCCGAATTTTTAGTGGCTTTCATTCTAACTCGTCCCCTTCAGAGGGGCTCATGCTTCTGCGGAGTTCACCTTCCCCTGCTGCATCC